AAAATCCACTAGAAGCGAGAACCGCCTGTCCCAACCATTGCTCGCACAACGCAGTCTCTCCCCCCTCCTCCCTCTTGTTGAGGCTCAGTCCTAAACGTTTATAATGGAAGTGAATGATTGTCGGTTCCAAATGCATGTGCGCTTTGCACCGCCAAGCGTCCCCTCTCCCTTATTAGTCACCCTATTAGTCCTCACTGATTACATTCAAAGGTCAATATGTTCTGCAATTTCCTAGCTATCTGCGATTAAAATTAGATATGCAGCGATCTTGTCCAAATTGTCAAGAATCTGCTAGTCGAAGAATCGGCGAATCGGAATTTCCACGAACCGTGGAGAAGCGACAGGGCTTTGGTTTCCATTATAACTGCTACCGACACTAGGGTATAAGACCTCTCTTTCCGAACGAAACACAACAACTAGCGCTCCTTCCGCATCAACCAAAATAAGACCTTGATAACGACAGAAGCTCCGAACACCTGGCTCAAGCTGCCGCCACTCACTTCGCAACGCCAGCCAGACATGAATATTGCGGGTATCGGACGATCGGTGCGTCATTGCCGCACTCGGCGTTGCCAAGCGAGCAGCACCTACGGTCCGCGCGAGCCGTGCAAACTATGTCTTGTCTTGGAGTCCGACTTCGGAAAACAAAAACGAAACTGGTCCCAAAAACGCATTTGAGTTGAAACAATAAAATGAGTCAAAAACCGAAATCAAACAAATGACTCGAGGAAGCGAGTGGTATTGATAAACTAATAGGAATGATGACAAGGAGAATGGCGAATGGCAGATGTCCGCTGAGCCACCACAGCGTCGCAAACAATGAACTCTGGCTAACCAAAGCTATGAAACATAGAACATACCGTGAGAAGAATAATGAGCACAATAAGTAAAACGCCGAAGAGCAAGTCTGGTCTATTTGATTCCTGAAAAATTACAAAATAATTCAGTGTTGTTTAATCAAACCAAACAACTAATTCTAAGCAGAAGTTTGGACGAGATAGAAAAGAGATACCAATCCTTCCGCAAGCATCCACTGCTCTTTTTCCTCTGAACAAGCTCTAGGATCTGCTAGAGGGCCATCTCGTATTTGACAGTAATCCCAATCCCTGCAAAGATAAGCCTGATACATTTCTGACACTGAAGGTTCATATTTGGGTGGAACGCGTCATAACTGATACATATGAACCTACCGAACGATTAAGAGATAAGGATCACTATGATTGCCATCACTCCTCGAATCGTGAGCGAACCCGCATGATACACCGGGCAGAATTTTACTTGAATTGGCAATGGAACTGAACAAGCGTAATAATGGCTTGTTCTAGAAGCTTTACAATACTTTTTGTTCGTTATGTTTTTCAAAATACGTGGTATCGACCTCAATCAATCATATACGCCCCATCACCACCTTTTCGCAACACTGGCAGCTTCTACATATTATATGTCCCTTTTGTGTAAGGTGACCAATTGCGAACTGAAGAGCGAATGTTTCTTCTTTTTGCCGAAGTTTTAGCCGAGTTTTGCGAGACTGGGTTCAGAAAGTAGTGAGAATTATGCCACACAGCACTCCCTGCCAGTGCCGCAGCGAGGAAACCGAGAGAGAAGAAAGGAACTTCGAAAAACGTCAATAAATCGGAATTTGGTACAGATTGAGAAAAAGCAGAACAAATGCTTGAACAATGAAGATGCTAAATGCCGAATTTTTGAACTTCCCATGTTTATTAGTGATGTATCTACCGAAAATACTCTTTGAATAAAACTTCGACCTCCTAACGTATGCTGTTACCGAAATGGATTTTCTCCACGAGTTTGAAAAAAATAATGCAGCTTTTTTCTAGCGGTAGGAACGAAAAATGAATGACGGAATTTATCACTTTTCAGCGACTTGATCCCACTTCAAAAAAGCAGAACTTACCGCATGAAAAAAATTGTGTGGTCACCTTGCAAATGTTGAGTAATCATCACTCCACTAGATATACTATAAAGCAATGGTATCAGTGCCTTAATGAAGAACACAAAACCAAAAAATAGAGAACTCCGCACCTCAGTAAGGTACGGTCAGTAGTGTAAGTGAAAATTTTCCTGCCAGCTGTGCCCTCTTTAAATGCTGATAGTATGCGGTTCATCGGTAGAGCGTGAACGAACGTGTTTCCCTCATTAGTGGTAGTATAATAGACCTGAACTGTCACAGATCCAGTGTTTTCGTAAGAACACTTTGAAGAGCTGCATTTGGTAGAAACCGCCTCTCTGGGTTAAGAAAAACAGTTCAAAGAGCTCGATAAGTTGGTAAATACCTAAGAAAATAACTTTAGTCTAGCGCATGATCAACTCAGTAATCGAACTTTCTGGAAGGACAGTGAATGTACACCTATACGGACCAGAACCTCCATGACTTACTTCTTCACCGTAAGGATCCTCTATCCAACCATGACGTGCTTTATTCGCTTCGTGTATTTTGAAATCGTGTATTAGGCTGGTTACCAACGTTTGTGATCCGGAGTTACCTAAAAGCTTACCCACTTAGCAGAAAGACTGTCTTTGCCGAATTGTCCGAGGCAATGGAACAAAAAGGATATTGGACTATATGGAAAGTTTCCACCGTTTTTAGTAGCACACTTGTACGCGCTAGAAGGCGCGTTTCTCGCTCTGTCTAAATCTACTCCTACTTTATCCCGAAACATTTTTCCACTATTTTTTTGAAGACTTGATACAACATACTCAACAGGCTGCTTTGTACGAGTCCTTGTTTCCTGTCAAATTTGGTCAGAAAAGTACTGAAGGAAATCGTGAACATTTTGTCCCAAATTCACAAAAAATTCACTGTCTTGTGCAGTCTTGATTCAAAATGTCCTTCTTGAGATGATAAAAGCTTCGAAGAAGATTAGGGTGAACGTCGTATATCGGATACGGACAACAATTCAGTTTTTAACAAACCAAATCTGCATGGATACGTTGAACAGCCCGCTTCCATATTAGGTGTGAGTGAGATGGAGTTCCCAAATATGCAGAGGTCCAAAGAACGTCCAAAGAAGTCGACAAGTAGGTGCCGCCGATTATTTTCCACACAGGTGATTATCCCTCGTAGCTCCAGCCGTGCACGAGTTGAATTAGCTGACCATGGGCTACAAGACTGACCCGCTAACATGTTGCTAACCAGATTCCTGGCAGTTGGCGGGCCTCTTGTCTAACAACTGCCAGCCATCTGGATAGCCTTTTCAAAGGAATCAAACGTTGAAACCCAACATGATGATGGAAGGACCTTCACCAAGTTCTTCGCAACAGAAATCCAGCACTTCCAACACCTAAATCCATTGAACCCTCTTTTAAGCAAAAATATTGAGACCGTGATAGCTTTCATTTCGTTGCTTATTATTATTATTATCAAAAATGCTTCGTTTGAACCTAGATATGCGCTTTTGAATTTGAGGGTCAAATTCTTCGAAAACTCCCAAGCAAACCAACAAAAAAGAAAAGCAATCAGCGTTGACCGATCCCGTTTTGGAATGCGTCACGCATTCTACTTCTATTCAGAATCAGAGTGGGAAACTGAACGCGATTTGGCCAATGCAATGACTTGCGAAGTAAGGACCAGCCGATGTACAAGTCAGTGTTATTAGTCCCGACAATCTGGTACCGGTCAGCCGACCCCAACAGGCTTGGTTGGCCCGAACGATGTACAACTAGAATTTGATACCAGGACCGCACGCGTGGTAAGCAACGCCACTTATCCCTGCATTTCTTCCGCTGAAAGGAGCCACCACGAGAAAAAAATTGGAG